AAAGCATTAGGTGTTCTCCCTGTATGTTTTAAATAAATTTTGCAAAGTGGTATGTGCCCACTAGGGATCCCATCCTGTGAACCACAAGTTCACCTTGTGAGCTCATAGTCACAGCTGAGGAGAGAAGCAGTGGGGTTGAACGCACGACCTCATCCTTCCAGGTTCCACCTTACCCCCAGCCAGATACATGCAAAATGATGTAAGAAATGAAATTTGCAATTGGGGCCTAGAGGACCTATTTCCTTTTCTCTTCTTTTCTTTTCCCACTGTGCCATCTTAATGCTTTTTTCCAGAGAAGTCTGTGAAGTCTCCTGCAGTGAGGGCTTGCTTTTGCCCAGAGTAGAGACACAGCAAACCCTGCTGACAGCTATGGAGGCAACATATTTGTAAGAAACTCCTATACTCTCTATTCATGCCGAATCACATCTCAAGAGACTATGAGTGAAAGAGTCTCTTTCCCACTCAAGAGAAGATGGGAACCTCCTCTGAGCTTGCTACTCCCCTTTAATGGATTGGAAGAGGGAGAACAGGCACTGGGTGCTCCTTTCCTACGTGTAACGAATCTCTCGATGGCTGTGGTGGACCATTGGAAGAGCCTCACAGAGTTTTAGTTCTTTTACAGAGTAGCCAGATGTCTTGCACAAAGAACCAGAGAAACGACAGCCCTCAAAGCATGGCCATGGAATGATGCTGCCACAAAGAGGCAGTTTTCTGACTTAGTTCTGCCAAGCACTCCAGTTCAATTCACTTGGCTGGTGGAACAAAACTTTACCCTTTCTTTAAGCACCCAGATAAGGGGTGAGCAGCTCTATGGGGCTTTTAATATTTCTTCCTTCAGTCCAGTTATAAACGTATCCGAGGAGGCTCCCTGGAAGAATGGAAGGGGCATTCGGGAGTGTGTGCAGCCCAGATCCTGCTGAGCCAGGAAAAGGAAACTCAGACTCATCAGAAATAGAAAGCACGTTCGCTACCTCACGTTTGCTTCCTTTTGTTGTACCCGTATGGAAAGTGCCTTGTAAAGCAAAATACTTTACAAATGAAGAGCACGACTTCTCCCCAGTGTGATCTTTGCACAGCCAACTCATGGGTGGACACTTTATCCTATTTGACTTTTTGAAGACTCTACTGTCAAACGTCACAGAACATCGAAAGCAGCTATACATACCCCATAGGCCTGGAACAAAATCACATGGAACTCCAGATCCATTAGCCTTTAAAGGGCAGCCTCCCCAACAATTTGCTCTGGAAGCCTGACATTAGCGTTCCACCAGTTTAGCCTGAACAGTAAGTTGTGCATTTCCAGAGTCATGGAAATCAAACTTCAACAGGATAGCCCTAGAGCAGGGAGAGGAAAGACCGTCCAGGATTGTGAGACAGATTGAGGTGCTTAAAGCAGTGGCATAGGAGGCATAAAGGAATTGAAATTTCAAATCACAGCCTTGAATACATAATTAACAAGCTGACTTCCTTGTATAGGAATCACCATTCTGCAAGACATTGTGCTAGAAAGGCTTCTAAAGGAAAGGAAGGGAACCAACTTCTACTGAGCACGAGCCATTGGACAAGACTTCAACATGAACTTCTCCTTTAATCCCCATGATAATGTTAGGAGGTTCACTGGAAGTACTCCTAACACGTCTTCACTTAAACTGAAATGACTGATGTTCTTTGTTCTCTCCGTATGCCAGCAGATGTCTGCAGCCAGTGGGAGGCCGTTCTGCATGTTCACTGGCTTCTGCTCTCACTACTTGAGTTCCTTGCCTGCCAAACACCAGTTGCATTTGCTCACAAGCCAGCTGCAATTATAATTAGGTAATCTAGTGAAACAGTAATATATAATGAAATAGAGTGAAAAAGAAAGAGAGCTGTTGTTTCTATGAAAACTAAGTTGCATAATCTGAAAGGACTCATTTTAAAGTCAAGTCAACAACAAAAAATTTTTTTAAAGAATTTAATCAAGTTTGTCACCGGCCAGACAAATGAAAAAAGAAAATAAAAGGGGTGGTGGTGGAAATAATGAGAGTGAGAAGAAAGATCTAGAATGATTGTGTCTAAACTGAAGTCTGAGATTTCACTCCATTTAAAAACAAAACCAAAAAAATGAGATCACTGACAATTCATCACGAGTGCTGCTTTTGCAGGATACAGGAAGGACTCCAACCTTACTCCAAAAAATGTATTAACCCTGCACCAAAATATTGGGTAATAAACATACTTCTCTACATTTAAAAATATCTCAGGTATAATGCATATAACTGCTTAAGGCTGCCCACATGAACTGATTCTTTTTCACCAACCAAATTACTGATTGTGTCACACATGAGGACTTACACTGAATTCTGAGCCCCACTTTACAGATGGGGAAACTAAGGATCCAAAAGAATACTCTGATTTCTCAATAAGCCACAGCTAGTTCACGGCAGAGGTTAAGGCTTGACTTTTTGCTGTTTCTACGATGGAGTTATAATTCTGCGGTTATGCTTTTTAGATCCCTTTTATTCTTTCCTTATCATCTCATCCTGTGTTTCAGTCCTTCTCTGAACCAGCTCAGAGCCTGGCAGGTTTCTTCCGGCCTGTGGGGGGAGGTCAGATGGAACCCAACCAAGTGCCTGAGGAAGCATCAGCACAAAGGGCCTCATCTAAGGCTCCTCCCCTGGGTTCTGTCTGAGCCCTTGGTCCTGGAGTCTTCCCTTCTGCCGACCCTATTCAGGCTGACCTCTTTGGACAGGTTTACTTAGCTCTTACTGGACCTCCCCTGCCTCATACTTCGTAACTGGCAGACTAATCCTGCCTCCCCTTCAAATCTGACCTGGCATCCTGAAAACTCTGCCTGGATCCTGTGCCTCAGACCCCAGCTTGTCTTGGAGGGGAGTTTAGGCTCCCATTGTTTTATCTCATCCACGAGGTTCCTTGTGGAACCTTTTCTTTTATTTCATGGAGGTCATGTTTTCCTATACCTCGATGAGAAGCAAAGTAGAAATTTTCCAATTTTCTTTTAATTTCAAAGCTATGCTTGTATACTGAGTCTTTAGGATATTGGTCCCATCTCCAAATACTTTCATAGCTTCCATGTTAATGTTCTGTGTTATTGCACCCTCGGGAGAGCTTTTCGTACCCCATAAATAGGCAAAGGGATCAGCCACCAACACCTTTCTTCACTCTCTTCTTGACTCCCTGTTCTCACTGCCCCTGGAATCAGGGCAATGTCAGTCAGAACCTAAAAGAAGCCTTAGGGATACTGCTAAGTGACCTCTATTTTGGGCTCTTTGATTAATCTGAATTCACAGCAGAGATGATTGTTCTCTAGGACTCTACATCTACCACACTGAACTCTATTCCACCAATTCATCACTCTGAGGGAGAAAAATAATAATGACTGAGCAAAACGGAGCAAACTTTTTAGTTTCTCTAAAGAATAATGCTGAGTATGATAAAAAACCATGGGATGTCAGGGGTTCATTCATGCACTGGGCAGGCGGAGGGCATCAATAAGCAGCTAAAACAGAAATTGATAATGGATGGCCCAGCCTAACCCTAATATTCACTGGCCCCATGCTGTCATGATGCAGCTGTACATCACAGTGTGAAATCATCAGAAATAATGACTTGTCTGTGAAAATGTTACAGGCTGAAATCCTAATGAGCTATTTAGGTAGGAAAACAAGTATTTCCATTCTTTTAGTGGGAGCTTATAAAAAATGAATTTATGGATATAACTATAATAAAAAAAATAGAAATGTTAACAGGAATATTAAGTGAAGCCTCCTCTTCCATGCATAGCCCCTGACTTGAGTTATCATAACTAGGCCCAAACCCTTGCCCCATATCCCATGAAAAAGAAATGACTTCAGCCCTTTGCCAAGAGCATTGGCTTTTACTGATTTCACATCAACACTAAGTGATTTCTAGGTTCTCATGAAAATATTCTGGAATACAGGACATGTTTTCATTTGGGATGAATCTGAGCTTGTCAGAGGGGGTAAGAAAACTTCCCTTATGTTGAGCTATTATACCTTGAGTCTATGTGTAAGCAGTTTAGCCTACCCTACATAACAGCTATGATTAGAGTACAGTTTGGGATGGGAGCGGCATGGGATGGTGAGCTGAATGAGTTGTAACAGCCTAGGCAGCCCTTCCACCACTGGATACTGTCACCTACCATGACACCGCTCCTCTACAAAATTTCATACTTTGCTCCTTCCCAGCCCAGCCAAGCTCAGGGAATCCACTTGAAGAGGCCAAAGAAGCCACAAGTTACTCCATCCCTGAGTGAACTGCTAGAAGGCTAGAATCCTAGCCATAAAATGGTAAAATTTATCTTATATATGTATACACCATAATTTTAACAATGAAAAACAAATTAAAAAAGGATAATGGCACATATTATGAATCCTTTAAAAGGTACTTTAGACTTAGTTACATATATACTTTAGGATTAAGGGCTTCAAACATCTGAATTATTCAGAAAATCTGCCTGCACAGAACCAGGCTTTTGGGGAGGTGAATTATCTGCTTGGAAATTTTATTCGCATTAAGAAAGAAAGACTGAGTAAATTTGTTGCGGTCACATTTTGGAGTGTTTTATTCAGGTTGGTACTCTTTAACTGCCTTCTTCATCCGGGATGGTTCCCTTTGTCTCGCCTGACTGCTGTGCCCACCTGGCACACCGTCTACACCATGAGTCTTCAATCCCCCTACAGCTCATTGGAACAACAGGCACAGGATTCCAAGCTGGGTCAAAAAGAAGCCTTTGCTAACGACTTTGGAATTGGGAGAAAGACAAAGAGACGGTGTGATAAGCAGTCTCTAAAAGGCTCCGAGTGCTTTCTATATACTGGAATTCCTGCCCTCTTCCCCTTGAGTGTGCACTGAACCTAGTGTCTCACTTCTCACAAGGAGAATAGGCAAAAGTCATGGTATGTCACTTCTGAGATTAGGTTACAAAAAGACAGCAACTTCTTACTCTCCCTCTCTTGCGACTTTCTTTGTATGTAAACCAGGTGCAATATTGTGAGCTGCCCTATGGAGAGGCCATGTTGCAAGGAACTGTGGGAAGTCCATAGCTGGTGTGCCCAACAACCTGCAAGGGACTGAATCTTACCAGCAGCCATGTACGTGAATTGAGGAGCAAATCCTTTCTCAGAAGAATCTTCCGGTAAGACTCAGCTCTAGTTAACACCTTGACTGCAGCCTTGTGGGAGATCTTGAGGAAGAGGCACCCAGCTAAGCCACAGCTGGATTCCTGCTCCCACAAAAACTGTAAGATTGTATATGTTTGTTGCTTTAAGTTGCTAAGTATTGCTTTTATTTTTTATACAGCAGTAAACTAATACAGAGGAACAGAAGTGTTGAACCTTTGGGGGGCAAAAATTAAAACATATAAACACGGCAGTTGAGGATGGCCGCATTATGCCATGTAAATGAAGAAGCAGGGAAACAGTTCTTAAGAGAAAGAAAACAATTAAGGATGGGCATGGAGAGAAGCAGGGACAAGAATCTGAGTGAGCATGTGTCTAGGTTCCCAGTGAATTTTCCAGTTCTCCATTCATTCCTGAGGCTTGGCTGCATTCCTGTCTTTATGTTCTATGAGGTCCCTGTACTGTATAATAAATTACCTTTATTTACTTTATCTCAGTTGATTTTTTTTTCTTGCGTTACGCGGGCCTCTCACTGTTGTGTCCTCTCCTGTTGTGGAGCACAGGCTCCGGACGCGCAGGCTCAGCGGCCATGGCTCACGGGCCCAGCCGCTCGGCAACATATGGGATCTTCCCGGATCGGGGCACGAACCCGTGTCCCCTGCATCAGCAGGCGGACTCTCAACCACTGCGCCACCAGGGAAGCCCTCAGTTGATTTTTATAACTTGCAATCAGAAACCTAAAATCCTAGGATGCATCAAGTTGTATAGCTGTGATTTTTGAAAGCGGTCAGATACTTGACAATGAGTTTGGCAGTTTAAAGAGGCTCTTGACCTGAGAAGCACCCAGATGTTCTGAGCCACTTGACTTTGGGTCATAAGAAATTGAGCCAGCTTCAAGAGCATGTAGCTCTCAACCTCCTGCTCTAATCAGTGATCAAGCATGGCAACATCTATTCTGTATTAGGTAGTCTGGTTAATATTTGTACAGAACTTAGAGATCCCAGCTGAAACCTGTTTGAAATACACAATATTGCTGTTGATACAGAGCAAATTGTTACCCTTTCTTCAAAGAACACAGTGATATTTCTGGAGCTCTCTTATTATGTTGCACGATGGAAACACATATCCAGAGGAGGCATACTTTAATTGTTAGAAACAGCCTACCTACATAAAATGTACTATTCTTCTCTCTTAATCCAGTTAAATCACTTGGCTGTTTTCTGTTTTAAAGTCGTGTCATTGCCTAATCACTCACTATCTTAACGAAATTCAAAGCAGTTTACGTATTACAAGCTTGGCAATAAAACAGAGACTTAAAAGCAATAAACATCTTTGAAACAATTCATCAAGCCCTAAAATGGTGTCAGAATGAGTTTTGGAATAGTAAGTTTGAATTTAAAAGCCAAAATTTTCTCTCAGGCTGAAACTTAAAATTCACAAATACATTTTTATAGCCAATTTATAAACCTTGAAAAATAGCCTAGACCTCCAAGCAAACAAACACAGATGCACTGCAGTGGTTCTTCAATGGTCAGGATACCCCTTTTGGTTCTATCCAGGTGTGTATCCCCATGTGTGTGCATTATCTGGATTTTTGCCTTATTACTTCTTTCCACATATTTAACATTCATTCTGATGTTGACAGGTGCAGTTTTCACATGATGCAGAAGTGCCTGTTTGTTAATGCTTCCCCAGTTCCACTGGTTCCCAGGGTCCTCAACCATAGCGAGTGTCCCATCTACTCCTCACCTTCCTGAGGACCACGTCTCACAAACTTCCAAGTCCCGGGTGATAGAAATGACTGAAGCATGTGTCAGGGCCAGAAGATACATTAAGAGAGGCTGGGTAAGCTTGTTGTAGTCACATTTTGGAGTGTATTACCCAGGTCCACATGAGACTCTCTAACTGCCTTGGTCCCCCACGATGGTGCCTTTTGTCTTGCTTACTGTTGCTTCCACCGTGCTGGTATACCACGAATTCACAGCCCACTCCAGCTGGCTGCAGTAACACACACATGACCCAAAGGCACACTAACTCAAAAAACGTTTTAAACATTCAACAGTTGATAAATGTTAAGTATCCTCAGGCCAAATAAAACATCCTCAAAACAAGCCCTCAGGCCTATAGCTATCAACCACGGATGGGACTTTTCTTCTCTCCCAACTCAACCTTAAACCATACTTGACTGGTGTCCTGTCCCTCTGGGCCCCATCTGGCAGCTACACTTTGCTGTGTGTCACAACCGTCCATGGGCAAGTCCTTCCTACCTGCCCAGATGATTTTCTGAATAGTTACTATTACTGGGTCATAGAAAGCAGGATCTTGAGTGCAGTTGCCAGTGGGTTCTACCATTTTCAGATATCTCTTTTGGATAATAACATAAAGAGTTTCTTCTGTTCAGACATTTATGATGACAGTAAAATTGAGAATATCTGGATGACAATACTAAATATACACATATCGGTCTCTGCTGGGATGTTGCCTTACCACAGAGGCTTTCTTTGACTGTTCTATAGCAATAGCAGCTCCTGCCTCTCCACCACACACACCCTCCCTCTTGTCCTGCTTTATTTCTCTTCACGACACTCACCACCTTCTGACACGCTACTGTCTTCCTGCACTGGAATCTAACACGCTACTGTCTGTCTTCCTGCACTGGAATCTAAGTGCCAAGAGGGCAGAAACTGCTGAGTGGGCAAAGCCTAGAACAGAGCCCAGCCTCTAGTAGGCTCTCAATAAATATCTGTTGCATGAGTAAAAACATACGTTATATACAGATACTAAAAAATCAGTACGACATTGCAGTAACTTGTGATGCTAAGGCCTGATGAAGCTTAACTGGCACTAGAACCATCTTTTCTTGCTCTTTGGGATCTTTCTCTGAATCAGTGACTCATCTTGTTTCCTGCGTTCTTGTCCCTGTCACACTCATCTCTATCAAGTTGCTGCCTTGTATAATATCTGAAATATTGCTTTACAGAAAGATCTTACTCTCTGTATCACAACTACTCAAACTGCTCATTATAGGTCAAGTTGTGACCAACTCCATACCTCTAATTATCTCCATTACTGTCAGCTGCTACACAGCTCTGCAGTGTGAGAACCAAAAATGTCCTCCCTTCTCAGAAGTGCACTCAGCAAAAGTGGCAGCAGAAATGATCTAAGGTGACTTCCTCAATGCTGTGTTTTATAGTGTATGGTTTACGCATCACCCTAGACCCACACACGCGCATTGGTGTTGCTTACAGTCACGGGGCCTGCTTGCCGCTGCTACATATTCTACAGACCCAGGGCCCTGGGCTGCATGTCTCTGGTTGTGTGGGTGCCTAACCTTACACCCAAGCCTTGCAAGTACCCTGGCACTTCCCTGTGGCTGCTCAGTGTGTACAGATGTGTAACTGAGGAAGGAAGTGTGTGAATGTACTACAGAGGTAAGTTTCACCCAATAGGAGATGGAAGTCAGTAAAAATAATTCTCCTATTCTCCCTCCAGAGAGACTCTTGAGAGATGCAGTAGCAGCATGCATCCTCCAAAGCTTTCTGGGGCACCAAGCACGCAGTTCATCATGAAGTGCAGGCATCTCAAGAACATGCTCCCTTCTATTTGCTCACTCTCCTTCCTCACCTCACCCCACTTCCTTTCTCACTCCTACATTCCTAGGATTCAGTCTTTAATATAAAGTGTTGGCACATAATCTTTATTTTAGGCTCTGTTTTTTTGCAAATTGTATATATATATATACACACACACACACACATATATAAACATACCCTTTAGGGGACAGAAAATAACTTCAGGCTGAGAGCTACAAAAAAAAATGAATAAAGCAAAACAAAATAAAAGCAAAGACAAAACAGAATAAAACAAAACTCATTCTATTGCCTGGAAGTTATTATCACTGTTATTTCTCATGTCACACTATAAGAAATTTCCCCTATGTAAGGCAGCTGGATTTTGCTGTTTAATTATTTGCTCCCTACAGATATGTGAGCTTTAAAAATACTTTATAACATACAACATGTGCTCATATGCATCATCTCATTTCATCCTAAGTTAGTAGGACAGGCACTGCTGGCCACGTTATACTAAAGGGTAAACTCAGTTTTCCCTCCAGTGCCATATAAGAATCCTTTGGCAGTGAAGCACCCGAACCTGAGAATGAAATAAAGATGATGTAATCTCCATCGTGTGCTTCGAGACGGCAGGAGAAACCTGGCCCACTGAAGTTTTGTGGGCTCCTCAAATCAGACCACACTGACAACTAACATTTTAGCTTAAGTGTATTTCTAGCTCTAATGAAAAGTTAATCTGTTCTTTGGTTCTCTATAACCATATTATCTATAACCATATTATCTCTATACTGGTTATTCAGGTTTTTTTTTTTTTAATATAGATACTTTATGATTTTGGTAAAACATAGAGCTTTTCTTAAAAGTCAACTTAGAAATGTCAGTATATACAGTGTATTCAGAGCTTGGCACCAAGAAATCAGAAAGAGTGAAAAATTTATTTAATGAAGTCAAGAGTCTAGAATGATCAAAATCACAAACTCTCACAATTGGAAAGCTTAATATTTAGTTACAAGTTCCTTTAAAAGTGAATGTAGGGGCTTCCCTGGTAGCGCAGTGGTTAAGAGTCCGCCTGCTGATGCAGGGGACACAGGTTCGTGCCCTGGTCCGGGAAGATCCCACATGCCACGGAGCGGCTGGGCCCGTGAACCATGGCCGCTGAGCCTGCGCGTCCGGAGCCTGTGCTCCGCAACGGGAAAGGCCACAACAGTGAGAGGCCCGCGTACCACAAAAAAAAAAAAGTGAATGTAGGAGTAAGCAACCTGCTACTTTTAAAAGTGGCCTCTTTAAGTCAGTCATTTGGAAGTTGGAATTTATTTCCCATGAGAACAAAATTCCACATGGTGATCAAGCCCCAGACCAATTTTACAGTGCCTATTTAACCCATAATGTAGTTGAATCCTATTTCTGGGGGTTATTTGGGTGAAAGGAAGAAAAACAAAAAGAGAAAATCAACTTCCTCTGGTTTTCCTGGGTCAGAGCCATCTCCCAACAACTTTTGAAACAGGACAAATTTGGCTTTAGCCTCATTTAACTTGCCTTTCTTCAGCCCTTTCCTACCTCTCCGTGTTCCTCCTAAAAGACCTCATCAGCAGGGTGCCCACATATCACTCCACTCAGGACCTGCTCTCCCCCCCAGACCTCTCTGGGATCCACAGGATCTGCCCCTGCTCAGAGCTGCTCTCTCAGATGCTTGGGTTGAACATGATCTGCCCAAATAATCCACGTAAATGTGGGACTGCCCAATCACACACCATCACCCTCCCATAAGTGTAGACCTGCTGAAAATAGTCTCAAAAGACTAATAAAATTGAGAGGAAAGTAAAAAGATTGCCCACATACCCCCTGCTCCCACATATGCATAGCTTCCCCCATTATCAACATCAGTCACTGTATTTGTACATTTTTTACCAAGGATGAACCTACACTGACACATCATAATCACCCAAAGTCCATAGTTTACATTAGAGTTCGCTCTTGGCATTATACATTCTATGGGTTTGGGCAAATGTATAATCACATACATTCATCATCAAAACATGATACAGAGTATTTTCACTTCCTTAAAATCTTCTGTGCTCTGTCTATTCCTCTCTCCTCTTCCCCACCCATGGCAACCACTAATCTTTTTACTGTCTCCGTAATTTTGCCTTTTCCAGAAAGTCATACAATTGGAAGCATACAGTATGTAGCCTTTTCAGATTGGATTCTTTCAGTTAGTAACATGCACTTAAGATTCCTCATCACTTGACAGATCATTTCTTTTCATCACTGAATAATATTCCATTACCTGGATGTACCACAGTTTATCCATTCACCTACTTAAAGGCGATTTGGTTGCTTCCAAGTTTTGTTGATTATGAGTAAAGCTTCTATAAACATCCATGTGTAGGCTTTTGTGTGGACATACGTTTTCAACTCCTTTGGGTAAACCAAGGAGCTCAATTTCTGGATTGAATGGTAAGAGTATGTTTAGTTTTATGAGAAACTGTCAAACTGTCCTCCAAAGTGGCCACACCATTTTGCATTCCCTTCAGCCATGAATGAGAGTTCCTGTTGCTCCACATCCTCACCGTCATCTGGTGTTGTCAGTGTTCTGATTTTCATCATTCTAACAGGTATGTAGTAAAATCTCATTGTTTTAATTTGCAATTCCTTGATGACATATGATGTAGGGCATCTTTTCATATTTTATTTGCCATGTATGGCTTCTTTATTTCTGAAATTACAGGGGTCTTAAAAAAAGAAAAGCTTGGATGTGCTTTCCCTGGCCCCCATAGTAATGCCAGGGGCTCTGACAGAAGGAAGAGTAGGCCTGGATGATGACCGTCATCTGCACGCACAGGTGACTGGTAATTTGGGATTGATTATTCAGGACACATACAAATCTGTACATCTGAGCATGACTTCCGTTTAGGCAAATATATAAGCTTCTTTATTTATGAAAATATTTAACTCATTAAAAGAGTCTGACCTTTCTGCATTAAATTAAAAGATTAATATTCAGTCCTTCTCTAAGCCAGTATGGTGAGCTCAGGAACCAGTGAGGCTAGGAATTCCCCAATCCCTGGGGCCCCCACCCCTGCTTCCCCACATCCAGGGCCTAGAATACCACTTTGAGGATGAAAGATGTTTAATAAGTGAGTTTTATTAAAGTTAAATTTGCTAAAGCTCCTACTTATTCCTCTAAAAGCCACTGAAGAAATCCAAGGGTGGGAAGAAGCAGATGCAGACACCCATTGGCAAAGCCTTTTTTCCTCCTACCTGGCAATGGAAAGGGAAAGAAACAGAACCAAGCATCATGCCTCCAACTCCTCAGGTGTCCAACCTGACAGTCCTTGGACCAAAAATGACTGTGAGTTGAAACCCAGCTAGTTTCTAACTCCCACCACAGGTAGAGAGGTAGAGTACATCAGTTGGGAGCAGGGGTGGGAAAGACGAAGCCTTTCCCGGGTGCCTGGTTAGAATGCTGCAATTCAGCACCTTAGGAGGCTGCAGGGCCCTGGAGAAAGATGAGGGGCCAGATGGAGCCAGGAGCTCGCACCCAGATCAGCAGGTGGATGAGAGAGCATCCTGGATGCCTGAGGAGCAGGCCTGGCAGTCAGGAAGGGCCCAGAAAAAAGGGCTAAGCTTTGAGGCACAATTCCATCCCAGGAGACAGCAGTCAAGGCCCTGAAGAGGAAGTCATCATGTACCAGGAGCCCCTGGTTTTGAATCAGCAACTAGGTTTTCTTAGAATCCTCCAGGAACTGCCTTCTCTCTAGGATGGGTTGTACCTCCCGCCCACATCCATGCTCTCCCCAAACCTCCAGCCTCTCATTCTCATTGTGTGGGTGATCTATTTAGTATAAAATGAAAGCACCCTTATTAACCATGTCCTGAGCACACATGTCCTGAGCACACATGTCCTGAGCACACGTGTCTTTTGTTTCTTCATTGTCCTCTTTTCAGTATTTGATAAAGCCTAGAGGAAAGTTCTAACCATCTTACTCAGAGAAGAACAGTGAGGTAAGAGCCGGGGTGCCTCAAAGAGAGCCTAGCCAGCAACAGCCAGAGCAGCAGCAAGATGCTCAAGAGGAAAAGTGAACTCAGGGCTGCAGCCTGGATCAACAGCACCACCCCACCTGCCACCTGCAGGTTCTCCTACCAGCCCCAGCCTTGGAGCCATGGGGGGGCTTCTAACTGTGCAGTCCCCTGCCAGGTTTATTGGTCAACTGTGGATTATTTTTGCTTTCTTGTGTCTTTGATACATGATCAAAAGATTGGGAGGAGCAGTGTTTATACATTTTTTTTTTTATTGATGAGGAAACTCATGCAGAATGAAAATAAACCTTATAAAATCAAGCCAGAATAAGCACTCAATTTGGCATTTGCTTTTAAAAATGGCTTAATGAGGGGCTTCCCTGGTGGCGCAGTGGTTGAGAGTCCGCCTGCTGACGCAGGGGACGCGGGTTCGTGCCCCGGTCCGGGAGGATCCCACATGCTGCGGAGTGGCTGGGGCCGTGAGCCATGGCCGCTAAGCCTGCGCGTCCGGAGCCTGTGCTCCGCAACGGGAGAGGCCACAGCAGTGAGAGGCCCATGTACCGCAAAAAAAAAAAAAAAAAAGGCTTAATGAAGGAACTTTAAGTGAAATGTAGCTTCATTTAAGAAATCATCTTCTCCAAAGAATATCTGTTGGAGAGACTAGGTATTACTCATCCCAAGTACTCAACACAATGAAGCAACAGAACATCACTGCTACACAGGGGGGCCCAGTGAGCAAAACCAGACCCAGCCCTGCCTCCTGCTTCTAAGGGTGAGCCTCCTAATTAACAGGAACTTGGAGAGAATTGCGTTTCTCTCAGCCCCTGTAAGGAGGTATTATATTCCTACGACAAGAATTCATCTTCCCTTTGAGATGTAGCATGACTTGCTCGGGAGAAAGGCTCTTTTGCACTGGGAGAGACACTGTGGGTCCCCAGCAAGCTTGGGGTGACCGTGAAATGAATAATTGCCAGTTGACCTGTGAACAGATCAGTTCTTACTAAAAACTCGCCAAGCAAATTCTGGAGCTAAGTGACATCTGTCCCTCAGTCCTGCCCCCGCAGCATCACCACTCAACGTGTTGTCATGTCAAAATGCTGCTATGCTGCTTACACTCCATTTCTTCTTCCGGAGGTTTCACTGCAGGTGCATGAAACCAAGGAAGGCCCTTCCTGAAGAAACAAGGGCAGCTGCCCATCTGAGCTAGTCACACCGATGACCTGGCTCAGCAGTGCAGACTGGCGTGGGCAAAGCTGTCGGGACCAATTGTGATGACTAGCCCTTCTGTTGCCTGGCTTATTCACTCACTCCGTCTAGACTCCAAATTCTGGAGCCTTTAGTGACTCATTTTTCAGCAAAATGCAAGTACTTTCACTTTACTTTGCCTTAAGCTCTATATAACCTAATACAGAATGTGCGCTGAGTAATACTATGAGTAGCTGTCAAAAAGCTGTTTGCAGATATCCTAGAATATCGTGGCACTTTGACTTTGATCATAATTAAATATTAATCCTCTTATTGAAAACTTGGTGGAAACGTGCATCCTCTAACCCTATTCAAAGCTCAGTGTTGACCTGAATACCTTCAACAATGTTTTTACATCTCATATTTGGTTTGCAATAGCTTAAAATGCCACAACTTCTCCTTAGGTTGGTTTGGAGTTGTTTAACTCCTGCCCATTCCTCTAAAACGTTAACACATTGTCTTAAGAGACTAGAACCGTCAAATCATAAAGATGATTGTTCAGGGCACCTTAAGGGGTCAGACTACAGAGCCAGCAGCAAAACCTTGGGGGCTTTTCCAAAAGCAGCCAACTCTAACTGTACAAACAATTATGTACAAACAATTATCATGAGACTTAACTATGTCGTGCTTTCAAACAAGCATATGTAGGCATAGGGCTGAAAACTTTAAGATTCTACTTTTCTGGGGCTCTAGGGAGAAGAGTCTACTGGTTTTTTTTTTTTTGTCTATTGGCTGTCAGAGAACCGGAGTCAGAAACAGAAAGCAATCTGGCGCAGTCGTGTTGTCTAGCCCAGGGCAGTGTTGCTTTGTTATATATCCCGACAACTTTAACTGTTCTCTCATGAGAATGGCTCCTTACCTTCACTGTGGAACATCACTCAATAGACTAATAAAGTTAATACTGAAACCATTTCCTGAGAATATACAGAAAGTTTACTTTCCTTCAAAACCCTTATTTCTGCTAATTCTGTAAGGTCGTTTGAAACGTCTGTCTGCCCTGCCCTGGAGTTTACCTTTTCAAATACATGTTTCCTATCATCTAACCAGAATTCTCTTAATTTTCTCATAAACCAATTTCTTTGATACACTGTTTTCTGTCAAGTTTCTCATTTCTATTCATTTATTATTGTCTTTTTAAAAATCAGTTTATTTACTTATTTATTTTTGGCTGTGTTGGGTCTTCATTGCTGTGCTTGGGCTTTCTCTAGTTGCAGCGAGCAGGGGCTACTCTTCGTTGAGGTGCACGGGCTTCTCATTGCAGTGGTTTCTCTTGTTGCAGAGCACAGGCTCTAGGCACGGGGGCTTCAGTAGTTGTGGCACTTGGGCTCAGTAGTTGTGGCTTGTGGGCTCTAGAGCACAGGTTCAGTACTTGTGGCGCATGGGCTTAGTTGCTCTGCAGCATGTGGGATCTTCCCGGACCAGGGCTCGAACCCATGTCCCCTGCACTGGCAGGGAGATTTCTAACCACTGCACCACTAGGCAAACCCTATTGTCTTTTTAATTTATTATTTCAATAACAGTTTGTCGTGGGTCCATTGTAAGCCAGAAACCATTCTTGGACCAAAGATATTTCAGTGAATAAGTCAGACAAGATCCGGGTTCTCATGGAGTTTATAAACTAGGGGATGATGATAGCTACAAGTATCAAGGGCTAAACACTTTACACCCAGTACCCCCTTTAATTCTCAGATCAGTCCAAGGCAGACATTCTTTTCCTTATTTTACAGGTGAGAAGAGTGAAGCTCTGAACAGCATGCCTAGGGCCTCCAAGCAGTAAGGACTGAATCCTGGACAGGCTCCGCATCCAGCCTTTGCTGCCTGTTGTCAGCATCCTTACGGGGAACCCTGTGCTACCTTTCCTCTGCTACTCCAAATTCCTGCACACATGTGGGCCTTTTACTTTCTCCTTTGACATTGCAATCACATGCCTCCAGTGATTTTATTTACTGTCTCTGAGTCTCCTCAGGAGTTCCTATTTATTCTGAACAACTACAATATTTCTATTCATGATTGCTTTCACCACATGATTATCAAATGGGAAAACATCTGTAACATTACAGGTTTCCTTCCCCTCTTAATTATGGGCTTAGCAATCAGACGAACTTCAATATTTAATATCGAAGCAAAACGCTTAATGATTACAAAGTGATGTTCCATTTTTGATGTAAAACCAGAGTTAAAGTGAACTCTAAGCAAACCAACTCTGCTTGCTGACATACGGAAGAAAGAATGCATTTAAACTCATTACAGATTATCTGCAGAACCATTTTGTGCCTCAGCTCTGATCCCCACTGTGCTTTTTTTCTTAAGATTTTTTTTTTTGATGTGGACCATTTTTAGTCTTAATATTTGTTACAATATTGCTTCTGGAGGGACCTTCAAGATGGCGGAGGAGTAAGACCTGGAGATGACCTTTCTCCCCACAAATACATCAAAAATACAACTACATGTGGAACAACTCCTACAGAACACCTACTGAACGCTGGCAGAAGACCTCAGACTTCCCCAAAGGCAAGAAACTCCCCCACGTACCTGGGTAGGTCAAAAAAAAAAAAAAGAAAAAACAGAGACAAAAGAAGAATAGGGACGGGACCTGCACCAGTGGGAGGCAGCTGTGAAGGAGGAAAAGTGTCCACACTCTAGGAAGCCCCTTCACTGGTGGAGATGGGGGCTGGACGGGCTTGGGGTGGGTGGGAGGGAAGCTTCAGAGCCACAGAGGACAGCGCAGCAACAGGGATGCAGAGGGCAAACTGGAGAGATTCCCGCACAGAGGATCAGTGCTGACCAGCACTCATCAGCCGGAGAGGCTTGCCTGCTCACCCGCCGGGGCGGGCGGGGGCTGGGAGCTGAGGCTCGGGCTTTGGAGGTCAGATCCCAGGGAGAGGACTGGGGTTGGCTGTGTGAACACAGCCTGAAGGGGGCTAGTGAGCCACAGCTACCTGGGAGGTAGTCTGGGAAAAAGTCCAGACCTAAGGGGCAGGGGTTTTCGGGGTGCAAGGAGAGGGGATTAAGAGCGCTGCTTAAAGGAGTTCCAGAGATGGGCACAGGCTGCGGCTATCAGCTCGCACAACAGAGGCGAGCATGAGACGCTAAGGCTGCTCCTGCAGCCACCAAGAATCCTGTGTGCAAGCACAGGTCACTATCCACACCTCCCCTCCTGGGAGCCTGTGCAGCCTTCCACTGCCAGGGTCCCGTGATCCAGGGACAACTTCCCCGGGAGAACACACAGCGCGCCTCAGGCTGGTGCAACGTCACGCCAGCCTCTGCCACTGCAGGCTTGCCCCGCACTCAGTACTCCTCCCTTCCCCCGGCCTGAGTGAGCCAGAGGCCCCTAATAGCTGCTCCTTTAACCCTGTCCTGTCTGAGCAAAGAACAGACGCTCTCCAGCGACCTAAAACGGAGGCGGGGCCAAATCCAAAGCTGAACCCCGGGAGCTGTGCAAACAAAGAAGAGAAAGGGAAATCTCTCCCAGCAGCCTCAGGAGCAGCGGATTAAATCTCCACAGTCAACTTGATGTACCCTGCATCTGTGGAATAACTGAAAAGAAAACGAATCATTCAAAAATTGAGGCAGTGGACCTTGGGAGCAACTGTAGACTTGGGGTTTGCTTTCTGCATCTAATTTGTTTCTGGTTTTACATTTATTTTAGTTTAGTATTTACATAAATATATATACATTTTTTCTTTTTCTCTTTTTGTGAGTGTGTATATGTATACTTCTTTGTGTGATTTTGTCTGTATAGCTTTGTTATACCATTTTGCCTAGGGTTCAGTCTGTCCATTTATTTATTTATTTATTTATTTATTTGTATAGTTTTTAGCATTTGTTATCACTGGATTTGTTTTTTGGTTTGATAGCTCTCTGCTTTCTTTTTTTTGTTATTATTTTTTAATATTTTTACTTTTAATAATTTTTTTTTATTTTAATAACTTTATTTTTTTCTTTCTTTCTTTCTTTTTTTTTTACCCCTTTTCTTCTCAGCTGAGTGGCTGACAGGGCCTTGGTGCTCCGACCGGGTGTCAGGCCTGAGCCGTTGAGGTGGGAGAGCCGAGTTCAGGACATTGGTCCACCAAAGAACTCCTGGCCCCACATATATCAAACAGCAAAAGATCTCCCAGAGATCTCCATCTCACTGCTGAGATCCAGGTCCACTCAATGACCAGAAAGCTACAGGGCTGGACCCTCTATACCAAACAACTAGCAAGAGAAGAACACAACCACACTCATTAGCAGAGAGGCTGCCTAAAACCATAGTAAAGTCAGAGACACCCCAAAACATACCACCAGACGCAGTCCTGCCCACCAGAAACACAAGGTCCAGCATCATCCACCAGAACACAGGCAACAGTCCCCTCCACCAGGAAGCCTACACAACCCACTGAACCAACCTTATGCACTGGGGACAGACACCAAAAAAAAAAACAGGAACTACGAACCTGCAGCCGGCAGAAAGGAGACACCAAACACAGTAAGTTAAGCAAAATGAGAAGACAGAGAAATACACAGCAGGTGAAGGAGCAAGGTAAAAACACACGAGACCAAAAAATGAAGAGCAAATAGGCAGTCTACCTGAAAAAGAACTGAGAGTAATCATAGTAAAGATGATCCAAAATCTTGGAAACAGAATGGAGAAACTACAAGAAACGTTTAACAAAGACCTAGGAGAACTAAAGAGCAAACAAACAATGATGAACACAATGAATGAAATAAAAAATTCTGCAGAAGAAATCAAAAGCAGAATAACTGAGGCAGAAGAATGGATAAGTGATCTCCAAGATAAAATAGTGGAAATAACTACTGCAGACCAGAATAAAGAAAAAAAAATTGAAAAGAATTTAGGACAGTCTCAGAGACCTCTGGAACAATATTAAACATACCAACATTCAAATTACAGGAATACTAGAAGAAGAACAGAGAAAAAAAGGGACTGAGAAAATATTTGAAGAGATTATGGTTGAAAACTTCCCTAATATGGGAAAGGAAATAGTCAGTCAAGTCCAGGAAGCACAGAGAGTCCCATACAGGATAAATCCAAGGAGAAACACACCAAGACACATATTAAACTAGCAAAAATTAAATACAAAGAAAAAATATTAAAAGCAGCAAGGGAAAAACAACAAATAACATACAAGGGAATCCCCATAAGGTTAACAGCTGATCTTTCAGCAGAAACTCTGCAAGCCAGAAGGGAGTGGCAGGACATATTTAAAGCGATGAAGGGGAAAAACCTACAACCAAGATTCCTCTACCCAGCAAGGATCTCATTCAGATTTGACAGAGAAATTAAAACATTTACAGACAAGCAAAAGCTAAGAGAATTCAGCACAACCAAACCAGCTTTACAACAAATTCTAAAGTAACTTCTCTAGGCAGGAAAAACAAGAGAAGGAAAGGACTTATAATAACAAACCCAAACTATTAAGGGAATGGTAATAGGAACATACATATGGATAATTACTTAAATGAAAATGGATTAAATGCTCCAACCAAAAGACACAGACTGGCTGAATGGATACAAAAAAAGACCCGTATATAGGCTATCTACAAGAAACCCACTTCAGACATAGGGAAACATACAGACTGAAAATGAGGGGTTGGAAAAAGATATCCCATGCAAATGAAAAACAAAAGAAAGCTGGTGCAGCAATTCTCATATCAGACAAAATAGACTTTAAAGACTATTTCAAGAGACAAAGAAGGACACTACATAATGATCAAGGGATCAATCCAAGAAGAAGATATAACAATTATAAATATTTATGCACCCAACACAGAACCACCTCAATACACAAGGCAAATGCTAAAAGCCATAAAAGGGGAAATCGACAGTAACACAATCATAGTAGGGGACTTTAACACCCCACTTTCACCAATGGACAGATCATCCAAACAGAAAATAAATAAGGCAACACAAGCTTTAAATGATACAATAAGAAAGATGGACTTAATTCATATTTATAGGACATTCCATACAAACAGAACAGAATACACTTTCTTCTCAAGTGCTCATGGAACATTCTCCAGGATGGATCATATCTTGGGACACAAATCAAGGCTTGGTAAATTTAAGAAAACTGAAAACATATCAAGTATCTTTTCCGACCACAGTGCTATGAGACTAGATATCAATTACAGGGAAAAATGTGTAAAAAATACAAACACATGGAGGCTAAACAATACACTACTAAATAACCAAGAGATCACTGAAGAAATCAAAGAGGAAATAAAAAAATACCTAGAAACAAATGACAATGAAAACACGATGACCCAAACACTATGGGATGCAGCAAAAGCAGTTCTAAGAGGGAAGTTTATAGCAATACAATCCTACCTCAAGAAACAAGAAACATCACAAATACACAAATGAAATTTACACCTAAAGCAATTAGAGAAAGAAGAACAAAAAAACCCCAAAGTTAGCAGAAGGAAAGAAATCATAAAGATCAGATCAGAAATAAATGAAAAAGAAATGAAGGAAACAATAGCAAAGATAAAACTAAAAGCTAGTTCTTTGAGAAGATAAACTAAATTGATAAACCATTAGCCAGACTCATCAAGAAATAAAGAGAGAAGACTCAAATCAATAGAATTAGAAATGAAAAAGAAGTAACAATTGACACTGCAGAAATACAAAGGATCATGAGAGATTACTACAAGCGACTATATGCCAATAAAATGGAAAACCTGGTAGAAATGGACAAATTCTTAGAAAAGCACAACCTTCCGAGACTGAACCAGGAAGAAACAGAAAATATACACAGACCAATCACAAGCACTGAAATTGAAACTGTAATTTAAAATCTTCCAACAAACAAAAGCCTAGGACCAGATGGCTTCACACGTGAACTCTATCCAACATTTAGAGAAGAGCTAACACGTATCCTTCTCAAACTCTTCCAAAATATAGCAGAGGAAGGAACACTCCTAAACTCATTCTACGAGGCCACAATCACCCTGATACCCAAACCAGACAAGGATGTCACAAAAAAAGAAAACTACAGGCCAATGTCACTGATGAACATAGATGCAAAAATCCTCAACAAAATACGAGCCAACAGAATCCAACAGCACATTAAAGGGATCATAAATCATGACCAAGTGGGGTTTATCCCAGGAATGCAAGAATTCTTCAATATACACAAATCAATAAATGTGATACACCATATTAACAAGCTGAAGGATAAAAAATCATATGATCATCTCAATAGATGCAGAAAAAGCTTTTGACAAAATTCAACTCCTATTTATGATAAAACCCCTCCAGAAAGTAGGCATACAGGAAACTAACCTCAACGTAGTAAAGGCCATATGTACCAAAACCACAGCCAACATCATTCTCAATGGTGAAAACCTGAAGCCATTTCCACTAAGATCAGGAACAAGACAAGGTTTCCCACTCTCACCACTCTTATTCAACATAGCTTTGGAAGTTTTAGCCACAACAATCAGAGAAGAAAAAGAAATAAAAGGAATACAAATCGGAAAAGAAGAAGTAAAACTGTCACTTTTTGCAGATGACATGATACTATACATAGAGAATCCTAAAGGTGCTACCAGAAAACTACTAGAGCTAATCAATGAATTTGGTAAAGTAGCAGGATACAAAATTAATGCACAGAAATCTCTTGCAGTCCTATACACTAAGGATGAAATATCTGAAAGTGAAATTAAGGAAACACTCCCATTTACCATTGCAACAAAAAGAATAAAATACCTAGGAGTAAACCTACCTGAGGAGCCAAAAGACCTGAATGCAGAAAACTATAAGACACTGAAGAAAGAAATTAAAGATGATACAAACAGATGGAGAGATATACCACGTTCTTGGATTGGAAGAATCAACATTGTGAAAATGACTCTACTACCCAAATCTCTCTACAGATTCAATGCAATCCCTATCAAACTACCAAAGGCATTTTTCACAGAACTAGAACAAAAAATTTCAAGCTTTGTATGGAAACACAAAAGACCCAGAATAGCCAAAGCAATTCTGAGAAAGAAAAACAGAGCTGGAGGAATCAGGCTCCCTGACTTCAGACTAAATTACAAAGCTACAGTTATCGAGACAGTATGGTAGTGGCACAAAAACAGAAATATAGATCAGTGGAACAGGATAGAAGCCCAGAGATAAACCCACACACATACAGTCTTTAATCCATTTTGAGTTTATTTTTGTGTATGGTGTTAGGGAGTGTTCTAATTTCATTCTTTTACATGCAGCTGTCCAGTTTTCCCAGCACCACTTATTGAAGAGGCTGTCTTTTCTCCACTGTATATTCTTGCCTCCTTTATCAAAGTTGACCATATGTGTCTTGTTAACTTTGTTAATTTGTCCATTTCTACCAGGTTTTCCATTTTATTGGCATATAGTTGCTTGTAGTAATCTCTCATGATCCTTTGTATTTTTAGTTTTATTTTTCTATTGTTTCCTTCATTTCTTTTTCATTTATTTCTGATCTGATCTTTATGATTTCTTTCCTTCTGCTAACTTTGGGGTTTTTTTGTTCTTCTTTCTCTAATTGATTTAGGTGTAAAGTTCATTTGTTTATTTGAGATGTTTCTTGTTTCTTGAGGTAGGATTGTATTGCTATAAACTTCCCTCTTAGAACTGCTTTTGCTGCACCCCATAGTGTTTCGGTTGTCATGTTTCCATTGTCTTTTGTTTCTAGGTATTTTTTGACTTCCTGTTTGATTTCTTCAGTGATTTCTTGGTTATTTAGTAGTGTATTGTTTAGCCTCCATGTGTTTGTATTTTTTACAGATTTTTTCCTGTAATTGATATCTTGTCTCATAGCATTTGGGTCAGAAAAGATACTTGATACAATTTCAATTTTCTTAAATTTACCAAGGCTTGATTTGTGACCCAACATATGATCTATCCTGGAAAACGTTCCATGGGCACTTGAGAAGAAAGTTTATTCTGTTGTTTTGAGATGGAATGTCCTATAACTATCAATTAAGTCCACTTTGTTTAATGTATCATTTAAAGCTTGTGTTTCCTTATTTATTTTCATTTTGGATGATCTGTCCATTGGTGAAAGTGGGATGTTAAACTCCCCTGCCATTATTGTGTTACTGTCGATTTCCCCTTTTATGGCTGTTAGTATTTGCCTTATGTATTGAGGTGCTCCTATATTGGGTACATAAATATTTACAATTGTTATATCTTCTTCTTGGATTGATCCCTTGATCATTATGTAGTGTTCTTCTTTGTCTCTTGAAGTAGTCTTTATTTTAAAGTGTTTATTTTACCTGATATGAGAATTGCTACTCCAGCTTTTTTTTTTTTTTTTTTTTTTCAGTACGCAGGCCTCTCACTGTTGTGGCCTCTCCCGTTGTGGAGCACAGGCTCTGGACACGCAGGCTCAGTGGCCATGGTTCACGGGCCCAACCGCTCCACGGCATGTAGGATCTTCCCAGACCGGGGCACGAACCCTGTTCCCTGCATCGGCAGGCGGACTCTCAACCACTGTGCGACCAGGGAAGCCCCAGCTTTCTTTTGATTTTCATTTGCATGGAATATCTTTTTCCATCCCCTCACTTTCAGTCTGTTTGTGTCCCTAGGTCTGAAGTGGGTCTCTTGTACACAGCATATATACCGGTCTTGTTTTTGTATCCATTCACCTGGTCTGTGTCTTTTGGTTGGAGCATTTAATCCATTTTCATTTAAGTAATTATCCATATGTATGTTCCTATTACCATTCCCTTAATAGTTTGGGTTTGTTATTATAAGTCCTTTCCTTCTCTTGTTTTTCCTGCCTAGAGAAGTTACTTTAGAATTTGTTGTAAAGCTGGTTTGGTTGTGCTGAATTCTCTTAGCTTTTGCTTGTCTGTAAATGTTTTAATTTCTTCGTTGAATCTGAATAAGATCTTTGCAGGGTAGAGTAACCTTGGTTGTAGGTTTTTCCCTTTCATCACTTTACATATGTCCTGCCACACCCTTCTGGCTTGCAAAGTTTCTGCTGAAAGATCAGCTGTTAACCTTATGGGGATTCCCTTGTGTGTTATTTGTTGTTTTTCCCTTGCTGCTTTTAATATGTTTTCTTTGTATTTAATTTTTGATAGTTTGATTAATATGTGTCTTGGTGTGTTTCTCCTTGGATTTATCCTGTATGGGACTCTCTGTGCTTCCTGGACTTGATTGACTGTTTCTTTTCCCATATTAGGGAAGTTCTCAACTGTAATCTCTTGAACTATTTTCTCAGATCCTTTCTTTTTCTCTTCTTCTTCTGGGACCCCTATAATTCGAATGTTGGTGCATTTAGTGTTGTCCCAGAGGTCTCTGAGACTGTCCTCAATTCTTTTCATTCTTTTTTCTTATTCTGCTCTATTTTGTCTTCCAGGTCACTTATCTGTTCTTCTGCCTCAGTTAATCTGCTGTTGCTTCCTTCTGGAGAATTTTTAAATTCATTTATTGTGTTGTTCATCATTGTTTGTTTGCTCTGCAGTTCTTCTAGTTCCTTGTTAAATATTTCTTTTATTTTCTCCATTCTATTTCCAAGATTTTGGATCATGTTAACTATCATTACTCTGAATTCTTTTTCAGGTAGACTGCCTATTTCCTCTTCATTTGTTTGGTCTGGTGGGTTTTTACTTTGTTCCTTCATCTGCTGTGTATTTCTCTGTCTTCTCATTTTGCTTAACTTAATGTGTTTGGTGTCTCCTTTCTGCCGGCTGCAGGTTTGTAGTTCCTGGTTTTTTTGGTGTCTGCCCCCAGTGGGTAAGGTTGGTTCAGTGGGTTGTGTAGGCTTCCTGGTGGAGAGGACTGGTGCCTGTGTTCTGATGGATGACGCTGGATCTTGTGTTTCTGGTGGGCAGGACCGCATCCGGTGGTATGTTTTGGGGTGTCTATGACCTTATGATTTTAGGCAGCCTCTCTGCTAATGGGTGGGGTTGTGTTCCTGTCTTGCTAGTTGTTTGGCATGGGGCGTCCAGCACTGGAGCTTCCTAGTCATTGAGTGGAGCTGGGTCTTCATGTTGAGACGGAGATCTCTGGGAGAGCTCTCGCTGATTGATATTCATGGGGCCGGGGGGGGGGGGTCTCTGGTGGGCCAATGTCCTGAACTTGGCTCTCCCACCTCAGAGGCTCAGGCATGTCACCCGGCCAGAGCACCAAGATCCTTCCTGTGCTCCTTTCTGCACCAGGAGAAAAGTGTGCCCCTGTGCCGATGCTCTTCCACCTGGTTCTTCTCTTTCACATCGCTTTCTGGAGGTGGGCAGGTGGTTTAGAGTGGGTGAGCGGCTCTACTCTATGAAGTCATCCTGGGGCTCTGATGCCTTCTGCCTCGTTCTCACTTCTGTTTTTATGTTTTCGTTTTTTAGCCACGAGGCGTGTGGGATCTTAGCTCCCCGACCAGGGATTGCAACTGCACCCCCTGCATTGGAAGGCGAAGTCTTAACCACTGGACTGCTAGGGAAGTCCCACCACACTTCACTTTTTGCTCATGAATTATCCAGGAGATTTAAGTGATGAAGGTAAAGGAGAACTTTCATTGTCAATACCCCTCCACACCCCTATTTTGCAGATGAGTTGATAAACAGGCTGCTAATTATATTAGCATTTTGCAATGTATAATTCAGTGTTGCTCAGTGTAAAAACCAACTTTCCTGACTTTGAATATTTACCTTCTTGCCTGATTGTGCTTTGCCTCGAGTAAGTGTTGGAGGACTGCCAATGTTATTCTATGATAGGTGACAGATTTCAGGAATTATCAGAGTATATCACTAAGTGATCTCTTATACATTAAAATGAAATACCAGGACTGCCTAATAGATGACAACTTGAAACTGAGGGGGAACAATTTCTATGCATAATAAATTATCAGAAAGATCCCTACGTATGAATATTTATGGAGGGTCACTGAGAGTAGCTTAACTTTACCAAACCTCTTTTAAAACAGGCCACCTAAGGGTTCAACTGTGTTTGGGTTTTGCTGGTGCCATTACCATGTACGGGAGGGAGATTTTGAGATTTCTGGTTGGGTCCTGGAGGGTTACTCAGAGCAACAGAAGATAGAAGAGTCAGAAGAACAGGCCTCCCCAAAAGGTGATGTCAGACTAAAATGATGACAAGCCCCAGGTCTCGTGGGTGGGCGATGGTAAGAGATCAGAAGCTAGAAGGTTGGAGGCTGCCAAGGTAGCTTCAGCTAGCGTTGGAAGCAAAACTAGGAATAATGCAGTGCTGTGCGAGCACAGTTTTACATGTTGCTGGCATAACTGTGCATTGTCCTGATGGCTGTACCTTGGTCTAGCAAGGGAATTTATTTATTTCTTACCAGGTGCCAGGAAACCTGGTTCAGAATTTTGGTTCTCCACCTAACTAGCTGGGTCACATTAAGCTAATAAACTAACTAACCTCTCTGAGTATGTTTCCTACCAGTTACCTGGCAGGGTTGTCTAAGGAGAAAGTAAAATGTTACTTAGTGTCAGGCCATGGAGGTGCCCACTTGTCGGTTTTATTATTCACTTGTAATTTATTATCACTAATATTTATTTTCTGGGGTGAGGTAGTTTATATCATTTTTTCCAGTTGGGAGGATAATACTTCTTTAATATTAGGCTTGGCCACGCAAATTCTTTTAGCAATGAAATGTAAGGGAAATTGGTGATGCTCCTTTAGAGCAGAACCTTATAAAGCCATCAGGTAGCACTTCCATTACTCTTTTCCTACTGTCGCAAGACCAGCATACCCCAGGTGAGCTGAGTCTTTTAGCCTGAACCCTGAAATGAAGAGAACACGTAGAGCAGAGCCATGGTTGACCTGCACCTGAATGTAAAGTGAGTTAGAACTAAACCTGTGAGGTGTAAGTCACCGACAGTTCTTCGTAACTGCAGCATAAACAAGCCGAACTGACTAACACATGGAGTTTCCAGGGTTGGGATAATCTGGACAGTGGTAAAGTTTTCAGCTATGGCCCCACCTACTTTTAGAAGTTCTCCTCCAAGTTTCTCAAGTTGTCTTTTTAATTTCTTAATCACTTCTCATCACCCGCAAGTCACCCCACACTGAAACCCGCAACCATCCTATACTTCTATAGAACATCTAACTGGAACATTGTTGAGTATAGAAGTGAAGTGATACTAAGAATTCTTAAGACAAATTGTTGAGAAGACAATGCTTATGATATGTAAGGAATCCTAAGAAATTAAGCAAGTGTATGGGAGCAGAAAAGAAGGCATTTTCCTCCAGTGAGAAATCTGCAAACCCTTGTTATAGGAGTTGCAGAGAATCCCAACGTGCTTAAGACATATACTCTGTCCTCCATGAGGCTACTGGTGAAGGAAGATGAGACACAGCATAAAATGCCACAATTCAACATTCATGTCATAAATCTCACAGAGAGGTACAAACCTCTCTGCTATAATGTTCTATGAGATCACATTGGCCCTGTGTGACATGGTGTGGCCCCTCCTCTCAGGAAATGTGAGTAACCAAAATCTTCTTTCGGTGGCATTAGCTTCCCCATGTCATCACTCAGTCACCTCCACAAATTAAAATCCCACAGATCCGGTGAGACAATCATGCCGTTATTGATCACCTGGTGCCCACCTTTCCACTGGGGCAATGGAAAGCAGACTTAATAAAGTCATGGGCCTCTGGCTGAAGTCAGAGGAAGCTCGTAGAAGCAGATGATCTTTGCCTTGTGCTCCTGCAGCTAGATTGCATTTAGAGTGGAAGATGATTTGAAGTAGGGAAGCATTGTGTGTTCGTGGGGGGAGGTTGGAGAGAACAGCAGAATAAAAGCAAAATACAGGAAGTTAAAGTTATCTTGAGGAGATGGTAAGCAATTCAGTTTGACTGGGGCAAAGTGTTCGTGAGGAAGTAGTGGGAAGCAAGGCTACAGTTGAGCTGTTTTTGTACTGAGTCAATGAGAACTGATAAACTAAGAAGGGGTGAAGACCTCTTGGAAAGACATTCCATGTCTTTGAACAGAGACTGACCAGAACTGCATTCATTCCAATTTCTGCATAAACAAAAGAGAATTAAATGCCTTGGCTAAAGAGTAAGAATTAGAATGAAAGAGGGAGATTTTTCTATTCAAGATGGTGGCCCAAGCACACACTTTTCACCCCATTTCCTCTCAAAGAAGTACAAAAGCAACGGATCCGTAATACCGCCGAATGAGAATGAGAGTGGGTCTATGAACCAGCCAGTTTGATAAATTTTCAAAATTTGGTAAAATTTCAGAACTTTAATGAGATCACATTTGTAGATAAGAAAAGAATGTGGAAAGTCCACATTGAGCATCAAAAAATATAGATACTCTTCATGGTAAGCTCAGGAGAAGCTCAAAGCTCCAGACTGGCAAGTGAAAAAATGGGAATGAAAAGTAAGGCCAAAATATGGTGGTAATTGAAGGTCTGTCTATGAAACAACCCTGCCTGTAGTCCTTCTTCCGCCTGCTTTCTCAGGTCCCTACCAGTCATATTTACCTACCTTCAGGCTAAAATTGGGAAAGTGCTCCTTAAAAAAGTTATAATCCAGCAATGCAGGGCTGGAGGTACTAGCCTGTGGGTTGTTCAGGCCCTCCTCATTTGAGGAGAATGGAATATAAATAACAGAATCTCTGACAGTGTAAAAGTAGTGGAACTCTTCTCTGGAGGAATGTATGAAGCCTTATTTCTCCTCCTAATGGGTGTCTGGAGATACTGTCTAAAGTTGATGGATGAAGAGAGAGTTGAGTACATTATTTAGAGGTACAGAGGTAACCAAAACAAGATCCAAACTTTATAACATAAATAACAAAACGTGGGAAGTGGCAGGAGAAGGAAAGAGAAGCTTAAGTATGCTGAATTCTTCATCTTTCATAATGGGAAGTTACTGGGTATGTTAATTTTTTTTAAAGTACAGCAAGAAATATTGCTGTAATTACCTGATTTAGACATATGGGGGTAGCCACTGGAAGAACCAAAACAGACAAGTTTAAAAATCATGCCTCTGAGCAATGAAAGTCGGGTCTGGTGGGATATTTTATTTTATTTCATGTCCTTCTATTCTGTTTGAATATTTTTAATGATGGATAAATAGTTTCTGTTGAAATTAAAAATAGAGAGATCACTTGAATTTTATTCAATGCCCAGATAACAAGCATTACTAGTTAATTCTTTGTTGACCCCAAGAATTCTTAGGAAAACTACAAGTATCACAAGTCTGCTATGGATTTCTCTTCCTTCTCATGTTACTGGCCCAGCAACAGCAGATCTTGTTTGTTTCTCTGCCTTATGTGGTTTTCTTCTCTTAGAAATAAAGTGTTTCTTTTCTGCTGTGTGAACCCTACACTTGGACGTATGCATGCCCATTTATTAGCAATGTTTAGTTTTACAGTTCCCAGGAACAACTGGGCTCAATACAGAATGAAATAAGCTTTAGTTGGACAAGTCTTCAGGAATCTAAGGAAGAAAATGACAGATATTCAGTGTTAAACATGTAGTTATACATAAAAATTACTATGGCATATACCTAAAAATAAAAAAATATTTAATTGAGACATACCTAATTGCTTCAATTTTCCCTAGCATGCTTGACTATACACTGAAATTTGCAGGAGAGGGCTATGAGGGAAGATTTAAATGAAGTTATTTTCCTAATAAGATTTCAAGGAGGCAGATGTTTGCCCCAAGGAGCTGTTCAAACAAAAGAACTTATAGAAGAATATGGTAAAAACCAGAAAAAGAGTACATCTTCAGCTCTCAAATTTCTGCATCATTTTAAAGACATTTCATGGTCCATTTGAATTTCCAATGTATAATTTTTAAACTAGTGAAATTAACCTTTGTTCAATGATAAGTTTTCCACTGAGGACACCTGGAAAACTCTGAATGTTTATCCTGAAAATTCTCCTGAGAATATCACAGCTTTAAAAAATGTTAATTTATACAGATATAAACTACTCAGTTAGGCTCATGCCCAGAACAGTCTTTTCTGACAAGGGCCGCCTACCATCTGTTAAGTCAACTATTTCCATTTCCAGTGATCCCAAGTTCACCATTTCAGTTGCTGAGATTGAAATTCTCAGTCAGTCATAAATATCATTTGTTCTATCCCCCTGCCCTCCTCCTGTGTTCACTTAGGTCATGATATTTTCCCTTCGTTTTCAATCAACAAGTTTGAAGGTGACATCATAGAAAGGATGTGTAAACAGTTTCGTTTTCATGGCTGATGACTTTGAAACAACCTCTAGTTCAAGACTGATGGTACAGAAGGCTGCTATTTTCCTACTCTGTAGGAAGAAACAGGTGACAGGTGGAATAGAAAATGTGCAGTCCAGGGAGGTTTGCAGGAGGACTTGCAATTCTATACCCTTCTCCAGATCAAGGGCCATTTCACACCTGCATAGAGTCACCTCCTCAATTCTAGAAGCTCTGATAATGTCAAAGATCCCATAAAAATCAAGTGTGTAGTTACTGCAGCAGCTAACAATTTTATCAGCACTGCCTGGTCTAGGATTTTAAAATCCAGAAAGTCTCCAACAAACCCCTGAAGAGTTGGTCACCTTAGCTAAATCTCTCTAATGGCTCTTCACAGCCCTTTTTTTCCTCTTATCTTTGTCAGGGAAGTCTAGCAGTTGAGTTGAAGCCCTCCTTCTCTTGAGATTCATTCACCATGTACAGTGTCACAGAACTCCATGGAAGGACTGAAGAGGTCATTTTGTCCAGTCCCCTGACTTCAAATAGATGAGGTAAAGATTCATTTTGAAGACAATCTCTCTTAGGAAGCTTCCCTGCACTGCACAGAATCGAATCAGATGCCTTTCTTTTGCACTTCAAGAACCCAGTGCTTACTTTTGTCATCTCACTTACATCACAGCCCTGATAACTGCCCCCTTGTCTGACTCTCCAACAAATTTTAAGTTCTTTGAAGTCAGAAGTTCCAGAGCCTTCTTTGTATCCATGTTGTATACCTGGCACGCTGTGGCTTTCAGTAAATATGCTCGTCCTATAACAGAAGCCACAGGGGTGCCATTTCTATAGGTGTACGTAGACCAGCACTGCAGGCCCAGAGCACCCAGACCCTGGCGTATGCCTCTCAAAGGACAGATAAGAGGACCCAACCCTTCTCCTGCTTGTGCAAGTTTCCTCTTATCCAATAAAACCTACTTTTTAATCTATGCTTTGTGCTGCGGCAGAATTCATCATACCCCTAGGGCAAGACAATTGGTAAACCAGGTGTGACCCACCTTTTACACAAAGTTACACATTTCATATCTCTTACCGAAAAGTTCTTACTGAAAAGTACTTTTTTAGGCCAAATTGGCCTTTTATTAAGTGTTTAACGACTCCTGCTCAATAGGTGTACCATGGAGGATCCTAAAATGCATATACCTGTTACACTTCAAGGAGGCCAAGTATCATGGTAACTAAACACAAGGGCTCTGGATAAGACAGGCCTGGTCTCCAGTTCCTGATCCAACACTCGCTAGTCATATGAACCTCTGAACTTTCTCTGTAAAATGGGTGTAATAAGAGTGCTCACTTCATAGGCCACGGGAAAATTAGACGGGCTAAACAATAGTAATCAACCCAGTGCCCGGCATGTGCTGAGCCCTCCTTAATATTGGTACTGTAGCAACCTTAGTATCTAGTCACTTTCCACCTTGACCGTATACTCTTCGCCCCTGTTGAGGACGCTGCCCCGGGAGGCTGGCTCTCAAACTTCTGCTTGCTTGCTGTTGCTGATTATACCAGTTCTCTACTGTTATGTTATCTTATGCTCCAGCTCTTCACTGTCCTTCTTTTTAAGGACAGCTGGCATTTTACTGTTTCCTCAGTGAACACTCCAAACATTTATTTTTTTGCCTTATTTTCAAACATTTTAATATTATCCATTTGATACATATGAGCAGTCTTTTTTTGTTGTTTTTTCGGTACGCGGGCCTCCCACTGCCACAGCACCGCCCCGCTCCGGAGCACAGGCTCCGGACGCGCAGGCTCAGCGGCCATGGCTCACGGGCCCAGCCGCTCCGCGGCAGGCGGGATCCTCCCGGACCGGGGCACGAACCCGAGCCCCCCGCATTGGCAGGCGGACCCCCAACCACTGCGCCACCAGTGAAGCCCCAGCAGTCTTTTTTTGAATTAATTTTTCTTGGAGTATAGTTGCTCTACAGTATTATGTTTCTACTGTACAGCAAAATGAATCAGCTATACATACACATATTCCCCTCTTTTTTGGATTCCCTTCCTATTTAGGTCACCACAGTGCATTAAGTAGAGCTCCCTGTGCTGTACAGTTATGTTCTCATTAGCTGTCTACTTTATACATAGTATCAATAGTGTACGTGTCAATCCCAGTCTCCCAATTCCTCCCACGCCCCACCCTTCCCCCTTGGTATCCATACATTTGTTCTCTATGTCTGTGTCTCTATTTCTGCTTTGCAAATAAGATCATCTATACCATTTTTCTAGATTCCACATATATGTGTTAATATACAATATTTGTTTTTCTCTTTCTGACTTACTTCACTCTGGATGACACTCTCTAGGTCCATCTACGTCTCTACAAATGACCCAATTTTGTTCCTTTTAATGGCTGAGTAATATTCGATTGTATATATGTACCACATCTTCTTTATCCATTCATCTGTCAGTGGACATTTAGGTTGCTTCCAAGTCCTGGCTATTGTAAATAGTGCTGCAGTGAATACTGGGGTGCATGTGTCCTTTTGAATTATGGTTTTCTCAGGGTGTATGCCCAGTAGTGGGATTGCTGGGTCGTATGGTAGTTCTATTTTTAGTTTTTTAAGGAACCTCCATACTGTTCTCCATAGCGACTGTATCAATTTACATTCTCACCAACAGTGCAGGAGGGTTCCCTTTTCTCCACACCCTCTCCAGCATTTATTGTTCGTAGATTTTCTGATGATGCCCATTCTAGCTGGTGTGAGGTGATACCTCACTGTAGTTTTGATTTGCATTTCTCTAATGATTAGTGATGTTGAGCATCCTTTCATGTGTCTGTTGGCCATCTATATGTCTTCTTTAGAGAAATGTCTATTTAGGTCTTCCACCCATTTTTGGATTGGGTTGTTTGTTTTTTTGATATTGAGCTGCTTGTATATTTTGGAGATTAATCCTTTGTCAGTTGCTTCATTTGCAAATATTTTCTCCCATTCTGAGAGTTGTCTTTTCGTCTTGTTTATGGTTTCTTTTGCTGTGCAAAAGCTTTAAAGTTTCATTAGGTCCCATTTGTTTATTTTTGTTTTTATTTCCATTACTCTAAGAGGTGGGTCAAAAAAGATCTTGCTGTGATTTATGTCAAAGAGAAACACTCCAAACATTTCCTAACATTTCTCTTGTTTCAGTTTGTTTCCTGAGAGCAGGGGCCAAACTTTACCTAGCTCTATGCCAGAAAGCAATAAATAAAAAGCGTTTTATCAGCATTATCATCTTCACCATAAAATCATCACTACATTTAATAAGAGGATTATCTTTTCTTTTTTCTTTTAATGTTTTTATTCCTTTTTTATTATAAAAGTATGAATGTATTAGATAAGAGATACCAAGTGTTGGAGAAGATGTAGAGTAAAAGGGACACTTGTGTGCTGTTGTTAATGTAAATTGATACAGCCACTATGGAAAATAGTATGGAAGGTCCTCAAAAAATTAAAAATAGAGCTACCGTATGATCTAGCAATCCCACTTCCAGCAATGAAAACAGGATCTCCAACAGACATTTGAAACCCATGTTCTGCAGCATTATTCACAGTAGCCAAGACAGGGAAACAACCTAAATGTCTGTCAACAGATGAATCGATAAAGAATGCGTGGTGTGTGTGTGTGTGTGTGTGTGTGTGTATAGTGGAATATTATTCAGCCATGAGAAAGAAGGGAATCTTGCCATTTGTGACAATTTGGATGAAACTTGAAGATATTATGCTATGTGAACTAAGTCAAACAAAGACAAATACTGTATGATATCACTTATATGTGGAATCTTAAAAATAAACCCTAAACTTATAGAAACAGACTGTAGAGTGGTGGTTACTAGGGGCTGGGGCATGCGGGTAAAGGGGAGACATTGGTCAAAGGGTACAAACCTCCAGTTACAGGAGTAACAAGTTCTGGTGATAAACCGTGTGGTGAATACAGCTAGTAATACTGTATTATATACATGAAAGTTGCTGTGGGAGTAGATCTTAAATGTTCTCACCACAAAAAAGAAGTAATTATGTGATGGGATGGAGGTGTTATCTAATGCTATTGTGGTGATCATTTTGCAGCATATAATTGAATCAAATCAACACATTTTAAACCTTAAACTTACTCAATGTTATATGTCTATTATATCTCAATAAAGCTGGAAAAATATGAATGCATTGTTGAAACTAGTCAAGTTATTCTGGAATGTATAAAGAAAAATTTACTATTCACTGCCCCCATCCATTCCCATCCCCACTCCTGACCTGAGGTACCCAGTGTTAATAACACATCTTTCCATAGCTTTGTATTGCTCCTGCAAACACACACACACATTAATGTACATATATATTCAGATGGACAAATGTGATGTTGCTCTTCTTTTTGCTCTTGCTTATTACTCTGTTGCTTTTATCAAAATTGGATTATATTATACACCTTCTTTTACAGCTGTCTTTTCTTACACAATACAGAATAGATATTATTTTAAATAACTAAATAATAATCTATAGAATGGATGTACTATAATCATTTGAAATTCTCATTATTAACACATTAAGATTATTGCCAATTTCTATTCCACTATAAATAATTCTGCAGTAAACAGCCTTGTACATACATCTTTTATGCACTGGGACTCTTATTCCTACAGCATATGTTCTCAGAAATGCGACTGCAGTTCAGAGGGCATGTACCATGGAGGAGGATTTGCCAGGAAGCTAAAGAAGCTTCAGCTTCAAAGCCCCGGTTGCACAGAGCTCTTAAATGATCCTAGAATTCATTTTTTAATTGTAATTTTTTTAAGACTAATGAAAACAGACTAAAATGAATGAAGCTAATAAAATTTAAGCTTTGGGCCCCGTGAAACCCAGAACCTGACTAGGTATTATGTTGGGTTGGTCAAAAAGTTCATTCAGGTTTTTTTGTTCAGAATGAACAGAAATTTTTAGTCAACCCAATATATTTATTTGTAACAAATACTGACAGACTATTTTCCCAAAATGTAGTAGCAATTCATGAATCCACCAACAAGGTAGGGGAGAGCCCAGTGGCTCGCACATGTGACAGCACTTGATGTTATTGTACTTCAACCTTCTTGCCAATTTGACAGGTAAACATACGGTATCTTATTCTTTTACTGTATATTCCCTTTACTTCTGTAAGTCTAAGCATTTGCTATATGTTTATTGACCATTTAGATTTCTTCTGTGAATTTTATAGCCATACTTCCACTAGATTTTAATCTTTCCCTCATCAGTTTATAGAATCTCTTCATATGTTGTGATTCCTCCATTCAAACAAGATTGGGCATTTACTATATCCAGGGCACTTCTGTGGGCTGGGAACAGAGCAGTGAACAAAATCCCTGACTTCACAGAATTTACTTCCTAGTCAAGAGACAAACTAAAAGCAACTAATCAAGAGTAAGAGGAGTACATCAAAGTGCTATCGGGAAAATAAAGCAGTGAAAATGAAGTCCAAGTGGGAGGGGATTGATCTTTTGTGTAGGGTTTTCAGGGAAGGCCACACTGATAACAGGACACAT